GACATAAATGTACAGATTCACCAAGTTGAGCAAAGTTCAAACAGGAAAAACCCAAAGAAATGCATGCCAAGGCTCATCGTAATTCAACTTCTGAAAACTAAAGACAACGGAAACATCTTGAAGTACTGAGAAAAAAGTGACACCTTATCTATAAGGGAAAAATAATTCTAAGGACAATGGATTTCTCATCAGAAGCCATAGAGGCTGGCGGGAAGTGGCACAATATTTTTCAAGTACTAAAGGAAAAGAACTGTGAACCCCAGATCCTATTTCCAGCTAAAATACAGTTTTAGAATGAGGAAATCAAGACATTCTCAGATAAAGGAAAGCTAAGAGAATTTGTCCCCAGCAGACCTACTCTAAACAAATGCCTAAATAAGTTTTCTTCACAGAAAGGTGCAAAAAAATAAGGAAGATTGGAACATCAGGAACAAAGAACATGAGAAAATATGGGTAAATACAAAAGACTCTCCTTTTTCTTCCTGAGTTTTCTAAATTTATTTGACAATTGAAGCAAAAATTATAAAAGTTGCAGATATTATTTTAAATGTATGTAGAAGAAATATTTCAGACTAAATTATATTCTAAATAGGGGAGGGTAATGGGATGTATAGACAGGTAAAATTTCTACATTTCATTTGAACTGATAAAATAACAATACCAATAGGTGTGGTAAGGCTTACTTAAGCCTTAATATATTACATTGAATGTAAATGTCTCAATTAAAAGACAGAGATTAGTAGAGTGGATTAAAAAACCATGAACCAATGATATGCTGTATACAAAAAAACTCATTTCAAAGGTGATATAGGTAGGTTGAAAGTAAGGGGAAATGGAGAATGATATATGAAACACACACTAATCAAAATAAAGTTGGGCTGAGTGCAGTGTTTCACTATAATCCCAGTGAGTCAAAAGGCTGAGGTGAGAGGACTGCTTGAGGCCAGGAGTTCAAGACTAGCCTGGGCAACATAGCAAGACCCTGTCTCTACAAATTTTTTAAAAATTAGCTGGACATAGTGGTATGTGCCTGTAGTCCCAGCTACTTGGGGAGGCTGAGGCAGGAAGACTCCTTGAGTCTAGGAGTTCAAGCCTGCAGTGAGCTATAATTGCACCACTGCACTCTAACCTGGGTGACAGAGTAAGACCCTGTCTCTAAAAAAAAAAAAGAAAGAAATTTGGGAAACTAAGTACACAATGACACGTGCCTGTAGTTCCAACTACTCAGTCTAGAAGCTGAGGCAGGAGGATTGCTTGAGCCGAGGAGTTTGAGACTAGACTGGGCAACAAACATACTGAAACCTATCTCAAATACACACACATGCACATGTGTGCGCGCACGCACATATGCACACAGAAGTTGGAGTAGCTATAATAATATCAGATAAAGTAAACTTTAGAGAAAAAATTACCAGAGACAAAGAGGGACATCGCATAATGAAAAAAGGGTCGATCTAGCAAGAAAACTTTGGATTTTTATTCCTAAGTGTATATGCACCAAAATACGGTGGCCAAATATGTGACAAAAACATTGATAGAAGTGAAAGGAGAAGTAGACAAATGCAAAATTATAGTTGGGGGCTTAAACACTCCTTTCTCAACAACCAATAGAAAAACCCCATCAGAAATTCAGCAAGGATATAGAAGAACCCAATGACATCATCAAGGAACAGGATCTAATAAAATATATGGAACATTCTACCTAGAAACAGCTGAGTACATATTTGTTTCAAGTGGCCATGGAACACATACCAAGATAGACTATGTCCTGAGCAATAGAACAAACCTCAACAAATTAAAAAAAGCTGAAATTGTACAGATACTTCTAAATAATCCATGGGTCATAAGGGAAATTAAAAAATACATTGGACTGAAGGAAAATGAAATGCTACATGTCAAAGTTGTGGGACATAGTCAAAACAGTGCTGAGAGGGAAATTCATAGCACTAAATGTATACATTAGAAAAGAGGAACAGTCTTATCAATAATCTAGGCTCCCATTTTTAAAAATGAGAGAAAAGCAAATCAAGTAAAAGAAAAGAAATAGTAAAGATAATAGCATAAATGAATAATATTAAAATCAGAAAAACAATAGAGAAAACAATGAGACAAAGAATAGGTCTCTGTAGAGACAAATAAAATTGACCAAATTCTAGCAAGATTGAAAAAGAAAAATTTTGTCATGTCTGACAAAATGTCAGACATGAAGAATGGATATCCTACACATCGCGAAGATATCAAAAGGATAATAAGGGAAAACTACAAACAACTCTACACCCCAAAATTTGATGACTCAGATGAAATGGATCAGCTCCTCAGAAAACACAAACTATCATAAGTCATCCAATAGGAAAAAGATAGTTTAAATGTCTCTGTGACGGTTAAGGAAATTTAATTTGTAATTACAAAACTCCATGTCAAAAGATGACAGAAGAAAAAAAAATCACCTGAGCGTATTAATCAGTACAGAAAAAAATTGACAAAATTGAATATTCATTCATAATTTAAAATTCTCAGAAAAATAGGAATAGAGGTTGAAACTTCCTCAGCTTGATAAGAGTCAAAGCTTTATTCATAAGAGCGCAAACCAGGAAACAATCCAGATGATCTGTAATGGTGAATGGTTAAACAAACTGTGGTACATCCACCACACAATACTATTCAGCAGTAAAAAACAATGAATTATTGATACAGGTTGACTATCCCTTATCTGAACTCTCCAATGAGCATTCCCAATGAGTGTCACATCAGTGCTCAAAAAGTTTTGAAGCATTTCAGATTTTGGATTTTCAAATTAGAGATACTCAACCTGTGTACACAACAAGTTATATGAATCTACAGAAGTTTATATTGAGTGAAAAAAGCCAATTCCAAAGGGTTACATGCTGTATGATTCCAGAAATAACTAAATTACAGAAATGAAGAAGAGATAGTCATTGCCAGGGGGCAAAGGGTAGAGGGAAGAAAGAGTGTGACTATATAATGGCAAATCGAGGGACCTTTGTGGTGACAGGTATGCTCTGTGTAGTCCGTAGCAATATCAAGAACCTGGTTGTGATATAGGCCCATATAGAGTTGCCGTGTATCCGCTGGGGAAACTGCACAAAGGGTACCTGAGTTGTCTGTGCAGTTTCTTCAACTGCATGTAGATCTACAATTAATAAAAGTTAAATAAGAAAAACAAAATAAAATAAATGAGGCTTTTACTAACCAGTAATCAGTATTACAGAATAACAATACACATGGCATGCACATACGCTGTACACATGCACTATTGCGTTTATTTTCTATAGTGTATATTCACGCATTCGTGCTGGTTTAACTTGGTCACGTTTTCTTCTGTAGATATAGTCTATCACTCTTTTAAGGGTGTTAAGATGGTGCCATGCTGGTAGATGGTCACTTTTTTTTTTAAAGTAACTTCTTGGCAAAATAAAAATTTGTCAATCTTTTATCAGTTCCCAAAAATGAGAGTCAAGATTTATTCCTCCATGAATTACAAAAGTCCAGGAATCACAGCTGTACAGTTTCCATTAAGTAATGTAGTTACAAATGTTCTCCTTTGTATGTAGCTTCCGGCTTAGAGAGCTGCACAAAGTAGTTGTCAAATACATGTGGTTATTCAACAATTGAATGAATTTGGCTGAAAATGCTGTCTCATAATTCTAATGCCAGAACAAATTTCAGAACTTCAGTGAGTAAGAGGAAATCTTGCTTCCCACTGGTAATACCCAGGGTCGCCTCAATCAGAATTATACTTATGTAATAGTATAGTGGGGATAATGTGCCGTGTAGTGCAGTGAATTCAAACTCTGATAAATGCCTTTGTGTTACTTCACTCTTCAACTTCACCTTAGCATTTCATCATGTTCATAAGACATTTCTTAATATCCCACTCAATTTCAAATATTACCCTTTACATATGCATTAGATATATTTTTCATATCTAATTATTATTATATATTTATTTTACTTATTACATATTTTAGATATATTTTAATATATTTATTAAAATTAAAATGTTAACAAACATTAAAAATTAACATACCAAATAACTTAAAATATTAAGTTAAATTATTTGTTATCTTGTCCATATTAAATATTAGAAAAATAATCATGATTTTATTAAACTAATATACCAAATGACTAGCATTTACTTATTTTTTTACAAGCAAGGAAAGATAATAATGTTTAGAGCATATGTAAAGAACAATAGAGTAGTTCCCTAATTTTCTAAATAGTTCACTTATCACTTTGAATTTTGTAACCTAATGAATTAGTTCCAATGTAAATAATGAAGATTTAAAAGACGTACTCAATATGAATAACTCTATAGAAAATATTTCTTTTTTAATGAAAATTTCAGTGTTGGAGGTAGAAGATTGTCACGTATTCTAATGTTACTCTCTTGTGTTTCGTATTACCAAATGTATGCTATACACACACATAGCAGGCTACATTTTTTCCTTCTAACCTCTCATTTATCATTAATTTTATATTATATTTTTATAGTTTTGTTGTTAATATTCATATTATGAGAACATATCCACATTTTATGTATATATAGAAAGACTGAAAGGAAATATTTTACGTATATTACTTCAGTATTCCACAAAGTATATCAGACCTAAGATTAGAATTTATAATCATTTGAAATTTTAAGTCTTAACATTCTGAACTTAAATACCTCTATTAAAATGTTTTCCTTAAGCATAGAGTCAGATTTCTCTTCCTTATGAAGTGATATTTTAAGTGACATTTTCTAGGAACGATTTTTAAAGTAGCTTGAAATAAAGTAGACCTTTAATAGTGATTATAAAATAATTTTTTCCAGATGTTTGTATTGACATGAGATTTGTCATCCCTTATGAGATAATGTGGTTTTATCTTCCAGCATATTTTACACAAACTGAAACCTTTAAAAAAAAACAAAAAGTCTTTTCATTTGGGATTTTTTTAGTATATGTTAAAAACCTAGTAACTTTTTTTTTTCCTTTAAGGTGAGAGGCCCTCCAGCTGCAGGAGCATTTAAAGAAAGACCAACGAAGCCCACAGCATTTCGAAAATTCTATGAGCGAGGTGACTTCCCAATTGCCCTTGAGCATGATTCGAAAGGAAACAAAATAGCCTGGAAGGTAAGTCAGGGCACAGCTGTGCTGGCCAGCTGCGCTTGCTGAAGTGACATCTCCCAATGCCAAACAAACTTGGCTGCTAAGTAAATAAACTGGAGTAATTTCTCGGCAGATTGAAGATGGTGGGTAAGCTCTTATAGAAAGCCCCCCTGTGTCAGTCGTCCACCTCAACTAACAATTAAATTATAGCCTGCAAAGAAGAAAATGACAGAGTTGCTTTGCCTTAGAGAATTGTCGGCTGCCCATTCATCTCTATTTTTATGAGAACCTGGCAGCCCAGCCTGTTTCAGGCAGTCCATCAAATGATGGAAGTGGCGGCTTGATGCAGAGAGCAACAGCCATTTATCTCCCCCAAATTTCACCTTCCTGCAGGACACTTCCAAATGGAAGCTTTAATTACCTAAATGGATAGGTCAAGATTGTCTGCTCCCTGGAAATGCAGAGTAGAATACAAAAGAAGGCTGATCCCAGTCCTGACTCTCCTCTGTCTGCAGCCTGTGTCAGCCAGCGCGATGGCTGTCATACGTGCCTGTTAGAGGCTGACCTCCGCTGCCGAAGCCATTACAGCACAGACATTTTTCTGACAAAAGGTTAATTGGCTTCAAAATAAATGTATTGCCTAATGACTCCATTCTAATGTGGTTGTGTTTCTTTCTAAAAGGCTCACTGATGTTATTTGTAAAAACTTGCCGATCTCTTAACTGGAGAAGGCTTTTACATTTAATTTGAAAAATGAATGCTGATCTCTAACCGGCTTCTGCTATTTAATTATTTTTGTTATCAATGACTTTGCTTTTGGTGATATTTATCAGCTAAAAGGGCTTCTCTGCCTACAGACAGCAAAGCGGTTGCACATGTGTGAGTATCACATTAAGTTAAGGAAAATAAAAGGTTTTGGCCAAATATCAATTAAATTAAGCAATTGACACATTTAACTAAAAAGTCTGGGGGTCATGTCTGAAGGCAAATTTAGGAATTGTTCATAATAACAAATTTGTGTTAAAAAATAAAATTATCAAATTCGAGAATTCATTGAAGTATTTACCTTAGAAAGGAACATTAAAATTAACTTTTTCCCCTCTCTGTAGAAAGACTAGAAGAATTGTTTGCATTTTTCTTTTAAAATATTTTCATGTTATTATCAAATATTTCTAATTCTTGAGTAGTCATCCAATATTCAGTTATTGAACTTAGAATTATTCTAAATTACTTTATACAAGAAAAGCCTGATGATATCCTTATTAAAACCTTGTCAAACAATTTTTTGGGGGGGGAATGAATAACATTATTATCTTCCTTTTAATCACCTCTATTAGAATGTGAATTCATTATGTGAAAATGTACATGTGATGAGAAAAAATTTATAGCAAGTATAACTAACTTAGATATTTTAGTCTTAGTATTAATGTAAGTACATATTCCCCAAGTTTTATTGTGATTTGGGGGTTCATTTATATTTGATTAATTACATGGATTTTGTGTTTGCTTTTCTATATACTGGTTCATACAAGGTAATACAGGGGAGTTGCTTAAAAACCTGATTACTGTTGAGTAAAAGACTATGTCATAATTCATTATAAAAAATGAGTGGCTTTTGTTGTTTTAGGTAATTATAACTTATGCATAAATTATATTAATGAAAAGAGCTTATACAAATTTATTCTGACCTGTTCAAATAATTTCATTTACTTTTAGAAATGTCAAGAGACTAGAAAGAATTCATCTTGAAAATAAATTATTAATAAAAATATGGGATGAATCATTTTTCTTTATCTTTGATAATCCAACAGTCAGTAGGGATATAAACTGCTTTTCTTTTTTATGGTTATATTAATTCTTTTAAGCTGCTATTGATTATAGTACTGATTCAGCAAGCTAAAAAGTAATAAAAAGAGGAAACAATTTATTTGCTGTCACTGGGAGTATAATAGCATAAATTTAGAAAAACATCTTATTCCAGAACCTGTAGACTTCTGTCTTTCAGAGCTTTGTTACTACATTTCAATTGTGTTACTATAACATTGAAAATAAGATGTTGAAGTTATTAAACATAGGCCTGTGAACAAGCCCTCCATATATTTATATTTATTCCTTGGCACATTTACTGTGGGGACAATCTGGTGCTAAATAGGGATAGGGGATGTTTCTAGGATGCCAGTCCTAAGGAAGGGGTCCTGAATGTTGAGGGATGCGGGACCACCTCTTCCCCCAAAAAACAAAAAGCAAAAAACCAAGACCCTGCACTGTTCTCTGTGTGTGGGCAGAGTGCAGGTCCCTGGTCAAGCAAACCTCTCGCCTCGATGTCATAGCTAGTTCCTTCCTGAAGACTCCTGCGTAGCAGGGCTTCCCCAGGAAATTGTTGGTCCTCTCTCTCAGTCCTTGGGGCACCCTAGGGACTCCCAGGGGGGTTGTGGGTGCCTGAAATGATGTGCATGATTAAGTGATAAGAAGGTCCATTTCTTTTGTAAGAGTTTCAAGAGACCTGTGGCTCTAAAAGACTTAAGACTCACGGCTCTAATCCCTAATGAAGGTTGTTGTAACATCTCAGGCTTGTTCTAGTCTGCAAAGCTGCTGGTTCAGAGATCCCTGCCCGAGTCGTCTGCTTTTTCTGGATTAGCTCACCCAATCTCCACTGTATTAGAAACCATCATATATTCTTGAAATAACAAAGGCACATCATGATGACATCTTATAAATAACCTAATAAAGTCAGAAAATAGAAGTAAGTTAGAGATAGGTAAATGTCTTTGCATGCCTAGGTTTCTCAACCCACATCCTGAACTGACATAACATTTTCGTGCACATGGAAGTGAGCATTTGTTCCACATGCCAAAACAACTTGGAAAGCTGACTGCTGTAGTCTATCCAGTTTAGTCTGTTCCTTATGGTATCTCTAAAGATCAGAGCAGTGTCCAATACAACTTTCTGCAACGGCAGAAATTCTCTGCATCTGCACTATCTAATATAGTACAACTGGCCATATGTGGCCATTAAGCACTTGGAATGTGCCTACTGAGACTGAGGAACTGAATTCTTAATTTTATTTAATTTTAATTAATTTTAATTTAAATTGCAACATGGTTACCATATTAGAATGTGCAGCTGCAGATTTATGATAATGGTAGTCAAAAATAAATGCCTGGATCCCAGATAGAAGGCTATAGCTATGTTAAGAATTATTATTAAAATTTAAAAATGGGAGCTACGTATGTATTTTTTGTCATGATTGTCTATGCTTATCATAGATTCCTTGCTAAATATGAGAAAAGTTTTGCAAAATGTTTGTAGTGAAAATTTCTGCATACTTATCGATGGCAAGTTTGTTATCTGTTAAAGATGAATACATGTGATCTAGGATATGAAATATAACAAGCAAGCTCTGGAATCCTTTTTTTTTATTTTTAAATATACAAAGTATATCTAAAGAATTCTTGATTATCGATAGTTGTGGCTATTTAAAAAAGTATAATGACTGCTTAAACAAAAAGTTTTAATCTGCTTCTTTTTCTGCATTTTTCTTGACTCCACTAACATTCAGGAAACATAACTATGTATTCTGTTGCTGATATCTTTAATATCCATATTACAGGCAACAAACATGAAAAAGAGCTAAGCAGTCTGGATAAGTTACAAAGCAGACAATCATGAACAATGGAAATTTTAAAATTGTGTCTGAGTTTTCTCATTTTAAGTTGCCATTCGTCCATTTCCTGTACTTCTGTAATATGAATCACACACTTACACAGACAGTGATCAGCGTGGTGGTGGGGCTCTACCTAAAGGTTTTCCCTGTGGACATTCCCGAGAGAGAAGAATGTTATATAAACTAGCAAAATATTCAGCACCTTGTCTTCACCTCTGCTACTTAAACAAGTAGTGAAGAGAGACATAAATGTAAAAAGTGACCCTTGGGTGGAGAGTTTTAAATTGTACAAAAACCAGATATTAAAGCATGAGTCATAGGAAGGAATATGAAATTATGTGGAAATTTACACATAATTTTACACATAAGCATTTCTGTAAACTGTCCTCTCGCTTCTGCCTCTAGGCATCCTCCACAACCCCTCAGCTACCACCTCAGTTTGAGAGTTTTTAACATAGCCTAGGTCTCCTCCTCCTCCTCTCCTCCCCCTCCTCCTCCTCATTCTTCCTCTCCTCTCTCTCTGCTTTCTCCCGTCCCTTCTCTTCCTCCTCCTTTTCCTCTTTTTGTTTTTCACTTTCTGGACTCCATATCTGTTCTTATAGTTTTTCCAGGGCTAATTTTGAGGGAAGGATCCAAGAGCCCACGCTATTATAGTTCTCTATGTGGCAGAATCTGAAGTTATTTGGAGTCTTCACCTGAATTAACTCAAAATAAAATTTTCTTACCTACTTAATGAAGAACACAAATATGAATCATATGTAGCACTATGAGATTCACCAGTTTACTATAAATTCTGGTTCTGAGCCATTGTTTTAAATAGTATAGGAATACAAGTTATTTTAAAATAGGCACTTAAATAGAGACCTTGGGAAAAAGAGAAAAATATAGGCACATTAGATTTTAAAAAGTAACTATATGGTATTATAAACCATTTATTTATTTTAAAGATGAAAACAGCTACAACCACACTAAGGTGTCACTAAATTCTTTCACTTTATAGGAATTTTGATATAATAGGTATTAATATAAATCACCTTTTTCCATCTGTCCATGATAATGTACTATGTGACAGAATATGACACGCACTAAGAAGGTCTTGTTTTCCACTAAATTTCTAATAAACAGGCATAAAAATGTTCCAGATATAATAGGGATATTTGAAAAAGAAATAGATAACCCTATGACCCTTTAGGCAAATCAGGATATAATACCAACTCTATTATAAATGCAACAAAATCGCAAACCTCTCAAATTATCTCAAAAAGGGAGAACCTCAAAATGAACTTGAACTTTGCCTCAAATTCTCTTCCCTCAAAACCTTGTAATCTCTCACCTGGCAATGCCATACTGGTAATTGTCC